AATCTCAAAATTGGTGGGATCGATTATCATTCTTCTGGCCCAACAAGATTAGTGGACTATGGCCTAGAAAAATTATTTGCCTAAAACAAGATTAGTGGACTTTGATTATGATATGGTCTTTTATCAAAATTGATTTTATTCCGCTTGTCCGCTACGGTCCAATCTATTATTTCGTGTTACCCTTTTTTCTAAAAAAAAATTAACAGGGAAAATGTGAAATTTAAGAAATGGAGTGGGGGGAAGAGGGGATTCCAATGGGAGTAGATCTTCTATTCCCCTCTCTCTCTTTGTCATTCTCTGTCCTACTTTTTATTATATTGCTATTTCTTCTTCATAAACATCATGTTTTAGTTCTTTTTTATTTTTTTTAAGATCTAATAACTATTAATTGAGTAAAAAATAGATACAACAGTTTCAAAAAAGCAATATATAATAGATTATTAAAAAATATAGCAGAAAATCCATTACAAAAATCTCATTTTTATGTATCTTGATTATTTAAGTTTGTTGAATTTTGTATATTACTCAGTTAATAGTTATTGAATTTTAAGAAAACCAAAAAAAACTAAAACATGATATTTATGAAGAAGAAATAGTAATACAATAAAAAGTGAGACAGAAGGTAGCACAAGGAGTGGGATAAAAAATCCGTTACTGATTCGAATCCAGGAAGTCCGGAGCCCTTTTTTTTTTTTTTTGTGTTACACTTTCAACAGCTTATGTTGCCTAATAGCATAGAAGTTTCGCACTTGTGATTATTGCATTTTGACGTATTTAACAAAAGTCGCATTATGGATTCAAAGTAACCAAATGAGGACTTAATATTTTCAGATTATCGTTCTCAAAAATCGTTCCAGCCAAATATGAGAAATATTCAAGTTTTTTTTTTTTTTTTGGGGTACACAGAAGAATTATCCTGGTTATCCAAGGAACCTAACCTCCGTTAAGACATATTAGTGTTGATTTTGATTTCTGCCTAATAACGTTTTAGACTTGTAGCTTCGCAGTTAAGTTAAGCTTAGGCTGATGCTGAAGTCAACTATTAAAATTTTCAAACTTTGAAGTCTATCAAGCGTTAACTCCCTAGAACCGACCAACATTTAATTTAAACAAATTCAGAGAAATGTTCTTTGTATGGCCGTAATTTGCACAGTGATTTAGGATGAGTACGTCTTACAATATTCTCTGTTCCCACAGGAAAAAGAGTCAACTTATATCGTTTTCTTAAGGAAGAAAAATGCCCAAAGAGAAGACTTGCATTTACGTGGTCTCTGGGCCAAAGAATAGAAAACAGGTGTTTAACACAATTGATAAGCACTTGTTCTTATTTTGGTCCATCTTACTTGAAGAGTTAGAGGGTATTCAGAAGGAGTGATTAGATAGACACTAAAAATTTTCACATGGGCTTGAACTTTAATATTGATTAATGTGAAGCGTGACAAATTAAAAGAAGGGTTGGTACAACCTAAAATTTTCTCAAAAACTCTAATTATGATAAAAAAAAAAAAAAAATTCGGGAGAGGCACAAGTGTTTCCATTGAAATCTTTGCCCTTTCAAGTATGTTTGGAGTTTGGATGAAGGAGTAGATAGAATTGAGATTCTTTTGTTCTAGTCGACAAGGTCGCTTGTATTATCAGCAACATCATAGTTTACTGGTAATAATAGTATGACCAATCTTCTTTTTTCATCCAGAAACAAGGAAGACAAAAGGATTTTGGATATCACATTGTAGTGACAATAAGAGATAGTCAATAAATATTGTAGATCAAGCCTTTGTCCACCATGATTTTTTTTTTTTTGCACTTGTTATTTTGTTAAATATTGCATAGTAGATACTCAGTAGGTAGACCTTTTTCTTCCTGATTTATTCACCACAATTTTTTCCCCTATACTATTCCTTGTATAATCTCCAAATGGTTTATTGGGGTTTTCGTTATATTTAACCGGCACTTTTTAGTGTACTTCATTTACGCCAAAATTATCATATGCAAGCAAGCACGAACTCACATTTATTATTTCCTAATGGATCTAAACGCTTTTCCTATTTTATTTCAATTTTTCAAAGACCTATTATTTGATATACGTACACCTCTCCTAAAAAGTGCTTACTGAGCATATATCCCTTAGATTAATCAACCTTGTTTGATATTTTAAAGCGTCAGAAAAATTTGTTTAGAAAAAAGAAAAATTATAAAAGCAAGAGTAAAGCATAGTGACGATAAGATAACACCAGGATTATAATTGAGTAAAGTCTACAACCATTCATATGTTTGCTTAGCCATGATCCACCTCCACTATGCTGCCGCTAGGCATGAAACCTAAGTTCGCAAGAAGACCAAAAGTGCTGAGACAAGATTAAAAAGAGAAGTAAAAAGTATGGAAAGGAAGAAGAAAAAAAAAAAAAAAAAAAAAAGAACGACCGTTGAAGTCATCAAGTCTTGCCATATCTGAAAATGGAATTACAGTGCATCTGTACATGCATTCTTTCTTAGCGCCTGTGGAACAAACACAGATTTGAAGCGTAGAAGAGGCAGAAAAATTGAAGTAGGTTTGGGGGAACAAGGACAACCATTGACTCTTGACTACTAATGGATCTTGATTCATTGAATTTAAAGGCATCTACATCTTAAAAGTTGTTAGCAAATTTCATATCTTCTAAATAATATTGACCAAGAATTAGAGTATACGTACTAAGTACCTAGAATCACCGTCTTCCCTCTTAAAAAAAAAATAAAATAAAAACTATCCTAATCGAGTCGATGTCTTTTGATTTCACTGATGGTTTTAGCTTATCTTGAATTGACAACCCCAAGACTTCAAAAAAAAGGGGTTGATTTCTGGGCAAATAATATATATTTTTTTAAAAAAAAAAGAAAGAAAGAAAGAAAGAAGTTTGGAGTCTTGCTTATTGGTCATAGTATCAACATGATACGAAACGAAAATGTACCTACAAAAATACCCTTTAAGTTGTGGTCATAGCCACAATAAGATTCTAGCTTCTTCAATGCCAAAAACTCTCCTGATCGAGTCGCTTTCTTTTGATTTAACTAATGGTTTTAGTTTATCTTGACTTGGTCAAATTACTTATTGCAATCCATAGCTTTCTGTCATCTTCCATTTACGAATTGTTAGGTCGGTGATTAGTCGCGCATGTTTATTCTTCTTTCGCAGAATTTTTTATTCCAAGCTTATGATGTTTTAATCTGGGTTCTGTCTTTTTAACAGTTGACTGTGGTTACTTGTAAAGGTAAAAACTCTATCCGCTAATTCTTTTCTTATTGGAATTGATATGCCATATTTATTTAGTATTCAAATGCTTTTCCAACTTCTAGACCGCAATCAAAACTCCAATCAGATGAAAGGAAAAATAGTTTCGTTAACTCCTGGTGAGAAAAAAGAAAAACTATTCACTAAAACACCTTCTTGTTAGTGTAAAAGAACTAGTGGTATAGAACTACGATAATGACAATCCCAAGAGATACATTCGAGCATTCTTAAAGTTCACCTTGCCACTTTGTTTTCTCAACTTAAGCATTTAAACATTAAAAATCGAACTTATGCCTGGAATTTAATATGGGTGTTTTGATTTAAGTTATTTGATGATTAAATCAAATGGCTTGAAAACCTTGATTTGCTGTTCTATTATATATATAATCCAGTGAATTGATTTTAACCAAATGTAATAATGTAATTTACTTTATTTCCTTAACTGGGGGAGAAATGAATTGGGTCGTCCGAAAAAAGGGAGCGTGAGTGAGAGATCTCGAATTCAGACTCTGCCACTTATACTTTTTGAATATTACAATTAACAGATAGTGATCCTTTCTAAACTAATACTTACTAGCCTCCAATCTCTTCAATTAGTCATGCCGACAGTACTACTACAAAGGTGTGATTGTGAAGCTACTACCAAGGAAGTTGAAAAACCATTACAAAAATTGACAGTAGGAGAGCTAAATCAGTAAAATGTTGACATTTGGAAAGAGTGAACTATGTTTATGCTATACGCAACGTACAAAAAGGACTTCTTCCTTAGAATAATAAGTTAAAGATGACAACATTCAAATGGATGGCGAAAATTATAATTTTTAATGCAATTGCCTCGACTTAGTTTTTCGTTTCATACGTGAAGTAATAAAGTCTTACTTATCAACATTCTTGTCTTCATTGTCCTAGAAGAAATACAACATTCTTAAGGATACATAACAAATAACAAAATATTTAACATCAGTGCTACCAACTTTTGATCACTATTCCTTAGATCCTGTGTCAAGTTCATATATATATAACCTTTTTACCTTTTCATCCATCTTCAAACATTTTCTATCTTCAATTATCAGGCTCAGAATTTGAATCCTTTCGACAACCTTCATGTTCTTGTCTTATGTTTGCTTAATAATTTTGGCTCTATGTAGAAATGCTGATTGATTCAGGCATTAGTGACACCTGGTTTAGCATTAGCTACCCTTGGTTCTTACACTGTAGCAGATACTCGTATGTATAGACACGTATACTCTGTTGCAAAATGGTGTAAGTGAACTAAACATTTTTCCAACATGCCATCTGTTGAATGACAACGGGAGCTTCCGCAACTGCTAGTGTTAATTCACCATAAAATTTTTATATGTGCTAGCAAAACGGATATAAAAAACTAAAATAATAAATATAAACACTTGCTCCTATATAATAACAAGTGAAAACATGAAAACAATTTGGAAGGTTATGTAATACAATTAATCCCATCAATCTAATTTCAAATTAAACCTATATGGATCCTCTATTGCATTGTGCAATTTCTATAATAATTGTAGATAATTCCAATCCAAAGATAAACCGCCATCTCATATGATGCGGTTTTCTGGTGGTTTCGTCACGGCTGACGCTATGAATCTGTTGGATTAATATTAATTGTAATAGTTTGTCCGCTTTCTAAGCGAGTATAAAAGCAAAACCAGCATCCTCGGCAGTTTCAATTTACTTTGAAAATTGATACTTTCATATGCTTTCTTTGTACCAACCAAACTTTGGATTCAAGAATATGGAGACGTTTCATGCTTCAGCTTCAAACACCAAAACGAAAAGAAAAATTACAGAGAAAAATAGAAGAGATCAGATGAAGAATCTCTGTAATAAGCTTTACCGTCTTCTTCCAAGTGACATCTCCAAGGTCTCTTTACCCTCAAGAAATACTCGATTCAGATGGTATTTCATGCATAATTTTTGTGCATAGGAAAGATTAACATTTGATTATGTAATGAATGCAGGGATTGTGCCCACAGCCTGATAAAATAGAAGATGCGACATATCACATCAAAAGCATGGAGAAGAAGCTGGAGGATTATCAGGAGATAAAGAAGAAGTTGCTGCATGGCAAAAGACCATGTTCATCTGCTTCAAGTGAATCTAACAACAGCTCAACGTTAACTGATGTTGAAGTTCAAGACATAGGACCTGATGCGAATATGATTTTGATAAGTGGGCTGGAAGAACAAGCTTCGTTTTATGGCATTATTCGCCGGCTTCATGCAGAAGGATTTGAGGTTGTGACTGCTAACTTTTCCAACACCGGTACCTCGACGCTTCAAGTTGTTCATGAGAAGGTCAGTAGTCAGGTATAGAACCAATGAAAGTTAGGCATCTCTTATTTTGTTTTTTTTATTCCTGAACTTTTTCAGATGCTTGAGCAAATCAAGTAATGGCATTGCAAATGAACTAATTTTCTCAATCATTTAATTCACATTTTATAGGTTGGAGCATCAACATCTGGCAGTGAAACTACAGCAGTTTCCAAGAGGTTAAAAGAACTGATCTATGGCTATCCACAGGGCGAAGTTGAATCGAAACTGGACTTGTTGGACTTTGAAATTGTACCTGATCTGTTAACTTCTGACTTCTTTGGACCTTTTGCAACAGAAAAATTTTGTTTTCTGCAGCAATATTGATTCATTGGAGTTGCTTCAGGGAGATTTTACCATTAGAAATTATGGAGTGATGCTTCAGTTTCAATAACGGAGTCTCAGATTATATATTTACACCTTACCTCTATGTATTGTAAACAGCAAATGAAGGACCGATTGAGGAATACATTGCAATCTCAAAAGCTTTTGTCTTGTAGATAAAATGGATGCATTTGATTTTGATATGATGAACCATTTTCGTTTTGTACTTTGGTCAGTTGAGGTTATATGAGACATAAGATAACAAGCCATGATTTTGTTACTTATTAGCACAAGACTGAAGCAAGCAATTGGTGAGCATATAAGCAGTGAATTCGTTCAGTGTTATTTTATGTGGCCACTCTAAGAAGTCTTTCCCCAATTTTGTATATAATCATTCGTCATAGTGATAAAACGATACTAATCAAGATTCAGGAGAAGATTACAGGATCGGTTCATGTTAAATTATTTATTCAAAATCATGAAAACACAGCTCCAACTGAATTTGACAAGATCATTTTTACGTGTCTCTACTTGTATCACTTGTTTTCAGGCTCAGCCCTGGTTAAATCCCAAGAAAAACTGAAGGATATGTACTAAATGCAGGAAAGCTGCTTTATGTGATTAAAGATGATGCTACAATCTACAAATTTTGAACTCTAGCTACAAATCTTGATTAATTTGAGTCCGAGAGTTCTGTCATAAGAGAAAAGCATGGCTTCTCACTGGCTTTAGCATGCAACTGGTCACTCACTCTACGTTTAGGCGAGTGCAATAATCTCTTACTGTCAGCAGCCACTTTCCTTGAATCTTTACTGCTGAATCTTGAGTCTGACCCGATGAAGCCAATGTCTAAAAGTTCTAACTTCATGATAAACTAGTCCCAGTAGAGCCTTGCGAAACCATGGAAGATTCCCTTGCTGGTGTCCAAAATCGAGAAGTCATTTTTAGCCAACGCATGCCTGATGCCTCTTCTTGTTGCTTGCACACAAGCATCTCGATCTAAACTTCCAAGCCACTGATGTAAGTTGAAGGATTCTCTGAAGAGTTAAGAGATCTATAAAGATTCTGGTATAACTTCTCTAGGTGAAAAATTGAAACCTTTTGAAGTATCTTGGAAAGTAGATGCATTAAGATAAATATAAGGGCAAATTACACTTTACCCTTCTCGGGCGCGTGGTATAGCTAATTTTTACATAACTCCCCTCTAGTTTTAAAAGCTATATATAACCCTCTTATAATTTGGATTAAAGTGTTAAAGTAACGGAAATGATCATCTATAACGAAACCTATGAAAATGTCAAAATTACCCTTGTTTAAAAACGAAAATGGCTTAAGTGACCAAAATTTATAAACATAATATGCATAATACTCTAACCTCGTATGATTTTATATGTTATCATATAACCCTCTTATGGTTTAGTATTTTACCATATAATCCCCTTATGATTTTCAATATATATACATAATTTGCTGTGGTTAATAAATAATTTTTAACTTTACATAAGGGTATTTTTGACATTTTAATCCAAATTATGAGGGAGTTATGTATAGTTTTTGAAACCATAGAGGGATTATGTAATAAAATACTAAACCACAAGGGGGGTAAAGTGTAATTTATCCTAAAAATAAATGGTTAAGCAATTGAATGTTTCAAAAACAAGTTGGACTATGAGCAAACTGGAAATTTCAGCTTAATTAGTAACTCATGTCTCATCTCATGACACGTTGCTCGATACATTTTTACAAGTGGAATTAAGCAACTAATTAAAGTCCGGCAGCTGAATTAACCAACCGAGTCAAGCTCAATCTTGCAAATACTTGGCTAGCCAAATTCTTGAACTTCTTTAGTTTGATAGATTATGTAATTATATTCATAGCCCCACGTATTGTGAACAACGATCATCTAGCCCAAGAGGGCAGAAAGTTAGGCCCAAATTGAGCTTCAATTTACTAGTACACAGACCGATTAAATGGAGTTCAAGGTTAAGTAAATCAAAAATACACATTAGACAACTTGGATCAGTTGCATCCCATGGAATTGCCAGCCACTTGTACATGATCTGCTCTATATTTATTTATTCACAAGGTAATAGTGTCCCCTAACAATTTTTATAATTTGCAAAAAAAAAAAAAAAAAGCAACTATTATTTTAGCATTCAAAGTAAGAGGTACAATTTTTCAAAAAAAAAAAAAGATATGTAATAATTGTGCCAAAATTTGAGATGCAAAAAAGTTTAGTAAAAGTTGAAATGTTTCATCTTCCATATGGTGGAAAATTATTTTAGTATTATCTTGCAATTCTTGAACAAATATTAAGTTAGTTAGGAAGCCTAGAAAAAATAAACAGAGTTTTATCTAATTCAAAAACAGAATTTGAGGAGTTTTCCTTTAATTTAATTTTTACCTTAAGTTGATAGAAACAGAATTTGAAGAGTTTTGAGAAGTTGATAGAAAAGTAACTCTTTTCAAGCATCTACCTTTTTTGCCCTTTTTAGAAAAAAAAAATTTCATAAATCCTTCTTACTCCATGACGGTATAATTCAAAGAAAGCCAAAATGTTCTACAAGAGAGACAAAAAAAAAATAAGAAAAAGAAAAATAAGAGATAAAGAAAGTGAAGAAGACAAAACACATCTTTCATAGAGTCTTGCCTAAGTGATCACGTTTCAGCAGGAAAAATCGAATCTACAGAAGCTTTGTTTCATCACGCAACATCCATAAAAATTAAAATGTAATTACCGAAAACAAAATTCATAGTTTAGTTCATCCTTACTAGACGAGGATTCAATTGTATTGAAGGACTGGAAATTTTGGAAAAGGAAGTTTGATTTTTCTTAAAGAAATTAATTTTCTTTTTAAATGATGAATCATAACTGGAGAAATCAGTCATGTATGATTATATGTTTGTTGATTAAATTTCTTAAAAAATGTAAAATAGCAAGTATTTTGAAAAATAAAAATAACTTATATGATGGCACATCAATATCTAAATAATCAAGAAAAAGATAGAAAATTTATTGGTCTGTACGAAAATTAAGTATTTCAATTTTTTGCTTGAGATTGTGGGGATAGCGAGTGAAAATGAATTCTACATTGATGAACTTGGTCTTGCGACTAGTTTTAGTTTAAAATTTTTTTTCTTGTTTTCACCAGTTAATAAGTGAGTACATGAATTTTATTATTTAAAATTAGCTGCTATTTTGCATCTCTATTTTGAAATTTAATTTAAGGGACACAGGACTAAACGTAACTAAATTCTGTTAGTAATTAGGAAAAATTATTCAAATGTCCTAATTTACTTTAAATTGAATACATTAGAAATTAGATCTGCTCTTACCAAAAGTTTAGAGATCAAAACTACACACTTTTACCAAAATTTTAGAAACTAAAACTGCACAGAAACTAAACATTGGGATTAAAATTGCATTTTTCTCTTATTTTTTCAAGATATGACTTCGGAAGCTCACAGCATCGAACCTGGATCCTTCGTAAAAACTTCGTTGCGGGATCATATTATATCACGTGAGACCGTGAACATGACATAAAAAACACGTGCCGAAAAACTGGAGTCATCTTATTCCCGTTTTCCTTATTCTTTTTTTCGACTTTGACAGCTGACGATGATAGCTGACGTCTCAATCGCTGACGGCTCACTCGTTTTTGTTGGCTTTATCAAGTTTTTTTTTTAAAAAAAAAAATCTTTTGAACCCTATTTAATATTTATCTACTGCTGGCTACTTTGGTGCTATAATATTGAATTTGATATCTTGAATCTTTCCAACTAAAGCATGACAAACAAAAGCCAAATAAAAATAGCTAGAACAAAAATAAATTTATCATAAATTTTAAAATATGATGTATGTAAGTTAAAAAGTAAAAGTTCTGTAAAAAAGTGTTTCAAAATTTATTTCCCGTCTATACAAGAATAACTGCTTTTAGAGATAATTCCACTTTGCATCCTTCAACTGATCCGAATTCTCATTTTGGTTATTAAACTCCAAAATGGGATACTTTAATTCTTAAAGTGTAAAATTTGTTCTATTTAAATAAAATCATTAATAGAAGCAGGACAGATTCTATATTTAATTGAAACATTTTATAATTAGGACTAATGTGGGACACATATTATGCATGCTTTAAGGACTAATTGGGACATATTTTATTTAAGCAGGAACAAATTTTATACTTTAAGGATTAAAGTGTTCCAATTTAAAATTTAAGGGCTAAAGTGGGAATCAAAATATATTTGAAGGGTGTAAAGTAAAATTAACCTTTTTTGGGGGCTACTTCCCAACTATTCAGCATCTACTTGTTTGTTCGCTCTATTCCTACTTGCTACTTCTGATTTTCCCTTCATTACATAGGCTGTCTTAGTTATCAGGCACGACAGCATAACACCAAGGCGAAAACATCAATAATGGTCTCCGTCAATTCACAAGCATAGCCCCCGGGGTTAGATCACCCGGTCTGCGGCTGGAAAATCACTCGCAAGGTCGTGGGATCGAACCTCACCTAACGCCTGGGTGCGGTTGGGGTGGCGCTGTACTCCAGGCGCAGGGGATTAGTCGGGCCGCCTTCGGGTCTTGACCCGGACACCCCTGTGTTGACAAAAAAAAAAAAAATTCACAAGCATAAATATATCTTTAAAGAGCTTAGAAGATATATTTGCAACAATTTCACAGAGTATATATAAGGTAACAAATACAAGATTAAAAGTCCCATAGACGGATCTAGAAATTTTAGCTAGGGGAGAATAATCACCAGCTAAGAATAACTAAAGATTGGAAATATGCTAGAGGAATTTCTATTAAAAAAATTTGTGACAATAACGTATTGGCTTTTTATGTTGATTTTTATATTTTACTTCTATTTTAATTCTCGTTTCAGTTTAATTAGTATTTGATTGATATTTTACCTTATTCAAAAGATCAGAGGTTGGTCTGTTATGTGAAAGTTACGTAAAGAAAAAGTGTGAAAAAATTTGGTGCCAGCTGCCCCTCGCAG